ATGATGAAGCAACAATTTGTGATCTTTTAAATTTTGTACCCCACATTGAAACACTAACAGGCAGAACACGTAAGTTTATAAACGTTTTTAATTTTTGATGTACTGTACTGAGGGGTAGCTCTAATGCGTAGCGAGAGGTGCTTCTAAGAATATAAACCGGGATCATCTTAAGAACTTTGGTTTATTTCACCATTTTACATATTTTCACTTTGGGTTACAAATCAATAATAATGTCAAGATGCTCCATTCTTTTCTCTTCCTTCATTTTCAAAGCATTCTAATTATAAATCTATTCACTCAGCCAGTGATTCTACTCATAGAGTAGAGCCTAGACTACATCCCTCTTCCTCACAGCTGAAGAGGTGAATATCCCTAGCTGGTGCTCTACCTATGATAGGCAACTTACATCAGTGATCAGCCTTTACTACAGGCTAGCCACACACTCGGAAGCTATTACCTTACCAACAAGTAACCACCGAGGAGGCTATGGCTTTAGTCTGCCAAAAACCTATCTAAAAGGACAGACCATGACCACATCCTAAACAAACAAATCAAAAATATAACTACTCGCTATCCTAGCTAATTAGGGAACCTGACTAAACCCTAACACTATATTTCAGCGACCCTAAACTGGCTCAATGATCCTAAAAAAATTCTAAACATCACAACTTCCTAACTGTTTAAGCCTAAGCTATCTCCAACGTGCATGCTGCCACAACGACGACACAGGCTTGAACATCCATCGGACGATCACTGGGTTACATCACTATTGATCTCTCAGCTGCCTTAGTCCTCATCCTGCAGCTATCACGTTCCATCAGCTTTTCTCACTTTCTTTAAACAAACAAGAACCGACACACATATAACCCTAACAACATATCCTAACATACATATGGGATGAGGGTATTCCATATGAAAGACTCCTAATAATTAAATAAATATATTTTCCCCGAATGCAGACAGTCCTTGTTCAACTGGGAGGGTGAGCACGAACTATGCGCATACATAGGACAAAATATCTATCAAACTAAAAAAAGAAAAAAGAAAAAGTAAGTTATATCCTTGTAATCCCAATCGGTACTCCATCATAGCTCTAATGCGTAGCGAGAGGTGCTTCTAAGAATATAAACCGGGATCATCTTAAGAACTTTGGTTTATTTCACCATTTTACATATTTTCACTTTGGGTTACAAATCAATAATAATGTCAAGATGCTCCATTCTTTTCTCTTCCTTCATTTTCAAAGCATCTAATTATAAATCTATTCACTCAGCCAGTGATTCTACTCATAGAGTAGAGCCTAGACTACAGTACCTTGCATTGTGCCAATCTTTACTGGTTTACTGCATAACATCATGAGGTGGTTCATCTAAAACTCATATGCTTAGGATCGAGCGCACTCAGAGAGCAGTTTTAAAGGTACATAAGTTCAAACCTTTTCGTTTTTCAACAAGAGATTTATATGGATATTGTGAGGTACTTACAGCCAACATTTTGTTCTCCAAACTATATTACGACAACACACTGCCCCTCCCAGTATATGTATACATTCCTTCATTGCAATACAGTAGGCGTATGAATGTCATTTCCCGGATGTTATCTGTAAAATTTCTATCAGCCAAAAGTTCTTTTATTTCTTGGGACGATTCTTATACAACAAAAGTAATAATAGTTTAAAGTTTCATCTAAAAAATAAATATGAGTGTAAGAATATGATAACGAAATGGCTTCTAAAACTGTCATATGAAGAAACAGAAAATCTTCTTCATGCTGCCCAATGAAGTGTTTTCACATCAAATACGCACTCATTTTCCCCACACACATGTAAGCCACACACGCGAGTGAGTGGTTAATTTAATTTTTAGGAGTTAGATTAATTTAATTTTACTAATTTGCTGTCTCCACAAATGACTCTTTTTTAACCGACATGAAAAAAAGGAGAAGATTCTCGATTTGACTGTATGTTTTTTTCTGTATGT